ACAGAGAAAGAAAGTTTGAAGCCCCGGGGCTTCAAACATATTACCAGTGCTCTAAGTAGTGACGTTAATCCTTAAAAAGGCGAATAATCTGTGTCTGATGGCGCAATTTTTCACGGTAAAAAGAGGTGAATAGTCATTCTCCTACGGAGTATTTTCATGAAATGTGTACAGTGTATATTTTTATACTCCCTCCGTCCCTGAATATTTGTCCACTTTTGACTTTTTTTGGTCAAAAGTGGTAAAGTTTGACCTCAAATTAAATAAAAACAAATGTTAAATATTGATACAAAAAGAGTTTTAATTGATTTATTATATCAAATATTTTCAAAATATTATTTTATCTAATTAATATATAAAAAAATGAAATATACTTAATCTATCTCAGAATAAAAAAATAAAATTATAGAAAAATGAAATGAAAAATTCAAACATACAAAAAAAAGTCTTATACAAAAAGGAATTTTCAAAACTCTTAAAAAGTCCGTAAAAATTGGGATATCTAAAAAGGCTATTCATTTCGGCCTCAAGTTTTGAATTTCTCAAAAAAAAAATTTTACTTTTTCATTTCGAAAACAAAAAATAAAAATTGTTAATTTGAGACGTACATATGCAGTATATGTTAATTATTTTTTTTCAAACAAAAATAATTTTAAATTTTAAGTACATTATAAAAACAAGTTTAAAAAGAATTTTAGAAAACCTTGATTAATAAAAGAAAAAAGGGTAAAAGAAAAAATAAACGAGGAATAAGAAATGAGCATGAGTGTTTCCTATGGTTTGGAAAATAGTCACTATGCCCCCCTTTCCGCTGGAAAACTATCAGAGGGGGTATGAGTGCAACATTTTGAAACCACGGGAACTTAAGAAATAAGTTTTGAAAGCATAGGAGGTATTTTTGTGTATTTTCCAAACCACGAGAGGTAGGGGTGTTCAAGACTATCCGACCCGAAAAATCCGTCCATGATCCGGTCTGATCTGATCCGGAAAATGGGTATCCGATCCGATATTTTTCATTTTCAAACACTCGGATCGGATATCTGAACATAATCGGATGGGGTACGGATGTAAATCTTTTCGGATATTCGGATATCCAATAATCTGAAGTACTTTTTTTAAGAATGTTTTACTTTTACGCACTACACCCTTATTCTCGTCCAATTCGCCGCTTCAGACTTCATTCCTTTACGTTTCAGACTTGAATCGAACATAGTGACATAGACGGCATTTTTCGCCGCAATCACCATTCGGATTTCATTCTTTAACGACAAATTTCAGACTACAGTCAGTCATCTCTCTTGGCCAAATCGTAGAGATGCATACATGTCATTTCTCTCGGTCTCTCAACTCGGCGACCTCGAGCAATCTCAAAGATGGACACGACTATATCTGCTTTTACCAAATCTATGTTGAATTTGGTACCAATTGCAGGTTGATTTGCCATTTACCTTTTTTTGTAAATTTTGGCTAACAAGTTAAACTTTTTTGGATATTTCATTGATCCGATTTGAAAATTTGGATATCTGAATTTCGGATATTCGGATCAGATATGAAATGAATTTTACTTGATCCGAAACTTTCAGATATCTGATATTACGGATTGGATCGGATCGATCCGATTGAACACCCCTAACGGAAGTTTACATTCATTGGTACGATATAGGGAGTATTAATAAAAGAAATATGTGCATATCATTTATCCCTCTTTAAAACAATTTTAAAAAATATGGAGTACTTTTATTTTTTAACATTTTTTTTAAATTAAGTGAAGTGAATTGTAAACTTATTTTTAATGATTTTTACAATTAGAACTGGTAAATTGGTCGGTTTGGTGCGGTTTGGGTTCAATCACTTCGAATTCTGGTTATATTAAGTTCAAGTTGACAACTGCATCTTCTTCATGACCGAATGTCATCGGGTTTGGGTCAGCCCTATAGGATATTATTTAGCATTATTTCTAGAGTACCTAAATTATGCTAGCACTTGCATTTTGCACCCAGAAAATTATAAAAAATCAAAATAAATGTATTAAAGCTATTAGAATATTTTATGTTGTAATTTGGAATTGTTTATTACATATAGTTTATAATATTATGGGCTAATAGCGCTGGTACCCCTCGTGGTTTGCAAAACATGCACCAATACCCCTTCTGTTTTCAAAACTCATTTCTAAAGTCCCTGTGGTTTTAAAAAGCTGCACCCATGCCCCCTCTGATCAATTTCCGGCCATTTTTCCGGCGAAGAAGGGGGGCGTCGGAGCATATTTTTTAAACCATAGGGGGTATCAGTGCTGATTTTTATTTCACGCAATTTTTTTTCCATTTTTTCCTTTTTTGTTTCATTTATTAATAAAGGTTTTTTAAAAATATTTTTATAATGTTCTTAAAATTTAAAGTTATTTTTGTTTAAAAAAATTTAACATATAATGCATATGTACGTCTCAAATTAACAAATTTTGTTTTTTCTGAATAAAATGTAATTTTTTTAGAACTTCAAAAAAAAATGAGGAATAAAATAAGAAACAAAATAATACAAAAATAAAAATGAATATCCTTTTCAGACATCTCAATTTTAAGGACTTTTTTAGGCGTGTCCAAATTTTTTTTGTATAAGACTTTTTTTCCATATTTAAATTTTTTCTTTTCGATTTTCCATATTTTATTTTTTTATTCTGGGTTTTTTTTGAAATTTCCAAAAAATTATTCTAAGTAACAAAAAGTGAAAATGTTTAATTTGAGATAGATGTAATAATATATGTTAATTTTTTATTTCTATTTTTATTTCAAACACAAAGAATTTTAAAATTTTTGAAACATTATAAAAAATTGAAAATATATTTTAAAAAAATCTAGGAAAAGGAAAAAGAGATAGAAAATATTAAAAAAAAAGGGAAGAATAATAAACAAAAATAAGAAATGAGCACGAATGCCCCCTATGGTTTAGAAATTATGTGTCAATGCCCCTTCTTCGCCGGAAAATGGCCGGAAAATGATCAGATGGGGTGTGGGTGCAACGTTTTGAAACCAGGGGGACTTTAGAAATAAGTTTTGAAAACAGGGGGGGTATTGGTGCCAATTTTCCAAACCACAGGGGGCGTCAGAGCTATTTGGCCATAATATTATGAATAATCTAAAAATATTAAATATGTACCAATTTTGAATTTTTTATGATAAGTATGTTATATAATTAAAAATTTGTTTGAAAATATAAGTTTCAAAAAATGCTTGGGATACTCAAGTTGTACAATACCCAATTACCCATGAACCCATCACACATTTTTTTATCAAAAAATTGAATTTTAAGTTATGGATAAGAAATCTGTAGTGGATACAATGGTGGTGTACAATTTGTGATACAATTTGGTGTATTCCAAACATTACTCTAAGTTTAAAAACTTAAAATGAGTAATAAGAAAAAATAAGAACATAACCTTGTTTTTTTCGAATTATTTTTCATGTTAGTATCTAATTTCAAAAAAAAACTTTAATTTTACGTTATCACGTTTGTAAGATCAATTCCAATTTCGGTCAGGTTTGAATCATTTCAGTGGGTCATTTTGGGTTTGTTCAACTTCAGATTCAGTCAACAAAATCTTTGTTCAAAATCCACTATTTTTGTGTCGGATCTTAGGTAAAAATAGGTGATATGATTTTTTCTGAGATCTACTCTTTATGATGTTTACAATTAGAGCTGGTAAATTGGTCGGTCAGGTGCGATTTGGGTTCGGTCACTTCAAAATCTAGTTATATATTGGGTTCAAGTTGAGAATTACATGTTCATGGCTGTATGTCATCGGATTTGGGTCGACCCAACAAGATATAATTAAGCATTATTTTAAGCACTTGCATTTTGCACCTAAAAATTAATAAAATATCGAAATAAATGTATTAAAGCTATTAGAATATTTTATGTTGTAATTTCTAATTATTTATTACATGTAGTTTATAATATAATGAGTAATCTAAAAATATTAAATATGTATCAATTTTGAATTTTTATGATAAGTATGTAATATAATTAAAAATTTGTTTGAAAATATAAGTTAAAAAATGCTTACGATACTCAAGTCGTACAACACCCAAGAACCCATCACACATTTTTATGAAAAAATTGAATTTTAAATTATAGATAAGAAATATGTGGTGGATACATTGGTGGTGTATAATTTCGTATACATTTTGGTGTACCTCAAGCATTATTCTATAAGTTTTAAAACCAAAAATGAGTAATTAATAAGAAAAGTCAGTCAGATCAATTTCAATTTCGATCAGGTTTGACTCATTTTAGCAAATCATTTTAGACTTGCTCATCTTCAGATTTAGTCAATGAAATCTTTTTTCAAACCTACTATTTTTGTGTCGGATCTTGGGTAAAAAACAAGTGATGTGATTTTTTGTGATATCTTCTTACTAGAGGTGTCAATCCGATCAATTGGATCAGTTGCGGTTTGGAATAATTCGGTTTAGATATCTTTCGAATATATGTGATAATCGATTCGATTTGGTTCGGTTTAATTTCGGTTCATATTTAATTTGATTCTATATATTTTTGGGTTTTGGGTCGGCTCAGATTCGGTTTAGATGTCAATCGGTTCGAATCAATTTTGGTTTCAGATACATTCCGGTTGGGCACATGATCGAGTAATTTACCTAAATAGGACTAAAACATAATGACTTTCTCAATATAGAACCATATGTTTTTATTTCCCAATGTAGGACCATTGGTCATTATCTATTAGTCATTATTCAACTAAATGTCCAGCATCACTTGGACATTATTCCTCTCACTAGTCATTATTAAGTCTTATTTAGGGAAAAAAAAAAATTTAAATCCTATATTGGGAAATGACTTATATTTTAGTCGTAGTGCAAATTTTACTTTTACAAATATAGAGTTTTTGTTTGACTTCAGAAACAAAGAAAAATAACACCGTACTCCTAGCTACCTTTCAATTTCATTGTGAAATCTTCCTATAAATACGAAGAGATGGGCACATGATCGAGTTAAATTAACCATAACCTATCATCATGCCAATCATTGGGGCGTCTTCTTTGACTTCATCACTCTCCGTACCGCCGCCGGTTAGCCGGAGTAAGCCCATTACCGCCGCCGCGGGAAACCTGATGAGTTTTTCCAATATTCGTAAAACCATTACCACCTCCCTCCCAGTATTTCACAGCTACTATGTTTCCGCTATAAAAACCTTGGACCCATTTGTTGCGGCGGAGAAAACCTCCCCCACCACCCAGCCGCCACCTTATTACGGCGGCGGTGACGGTGATGGGAAGGACGAAGATGCCGAACGATCTTTGGTCGCGGCGAAGCTTCGCGCGATCATGGAGATCGTGGCGGACAGGGTGGAAATGCACCAGAGCATCTACGAGCAAAGGAACAACTGGAACACCCTCTTGTTGAACTCCGTCAACGGCATCATTCTAGCCGCAGGGTTAACGACCGCCGGCGGAATCCCCTGCTGGGATCACGCCGGCGAAGCGTTGCTGCCCATTAAGTTGTCGTCCACTCTGCTTTACCTCTCTGCCACCGCGGTGCTGGCGGTGATGAACAAGGTCCAGCCCTCCCAGCTCGCGGAGGAACAGAGGAAGGCCGTCAGGCTTTTCAAGAATCTCCTTTTCCAGATCGAGACGACTAGCCGTGGCAGTCATGCCACGGCTAGCGACGTCCATGAAATGATAGAGAGGGTGCTGGCCCTGGACAAGGCCTACCCTCTGCCCCTCCTAGGAGGGGCCATGCTGGAGAAGTTCCCAGCCTCTATTGCCCCGGCTGTCTGGTGGCCAGAAAACTCGGCACGCAGACAGCCGAGCCCAATCGGAGGTGCGGACAACGGTTGGACCGGGGACCTGGAGGAAGAGCTGGAGGAGATACTGAGGGTGGTGAGGGGAAGAGATGGGAAAGAATACCTAAGGCTAGGGGGAAAAGCCCTAAGGCTGAACAAACTCCTGGCCATCGCGGGCCCCGCGCTGACAGCCACTGCCGCCGTCGCCTCATCCCTTGCGGGACCCACCTCGTGCTGGGCGACGGCGGCAGGGGCGGCAGCAGGGGCGCTGGCGGTGGGGGTGAGCACGGTGCAGCACGGGGGACAGGTCGGGATGGTGTTCGAGCTGTACCGCAGCACGGCGGGCTTCTTCAAGTTCTTGGAAGAGTGTGTGATTGAGCCGAATCTGATGGAATGTGATTTGGAGAGAAGGGAGAACGGAGAAGTGGTGGAGATGAAGGTGGCGTTGATGCTGGGAAGAAGTGTCTCGGAGCTCAGAGATGCGGCTGCTAAATCAAGATCGCTGCTGCACATTGATGATGACGACTTTGCATCCAAGCTTTTATAATTAATTACTTTATCCCTTCATTTCTATGATTAAACTTCTTCATTCAAGTAATTAATTTGTCAATCTTATATAATATCATCAAAAATGCTACTCCGGTCTCCGTCCCAGAGTATTTTTCCACTTTCATTTTACACACCATCCAATACACTTTTTTTAATCCATTTTATCTTGTAATTTGTATATTAAAAAATTATAGAAGTTATATATTAATAATCTATATGTTAAGACAAATCAAACAAGATCACACATGACTATATTTAGGCTTACACATTGAGAGAATTTGATGAGTCAAAATGCTTAGATGAACAGTTCCAAAAGTCAAAACTGGACGAATACTCCGGAACTGAGGGAGTATTAATTTGTCAATCTTAATCTGTCTGTAACAGTATTTCCTTGTTGTGATCGAAATAAAACACCTCGTACTAACTTGAAGCATGGGTGTCTTCTGTTGGACATTTGACTATCACTTGAATTAACTTTAGATCATATATTTTGATCAAAATAATAAAATTGGAAAAAAAGGTATTTTTCTGTCCTAAAATTTTCTTCTCAGTTTGACTTTTCCTCATTTTTAATTTTTGGTTTTGGCTTCAAATTTTACCCTCTTTAAAAAAGATTTTTTGAAATTTTTTTTGCAATCATTCAAAATATAGAGTTAGAAGATGATTAGTGTAAATACATGAGGGTATTAATGTCATTTGTCATCTTTTTCTTTCTAATGGGAAGGTAGTTTTAGGACGGAGAAAAAGGGAAAGTGGAAAGAAAGTTTTAGGACGGAGGGAGTAATAATACTTAACCATAAGATGTGACAATAATATTTTATTCTACCGATCAATGAAAACTTAAATGAAAATAAAAGTTATCAAGAGCCAGAATAATAATAGTGTAATTGTTTTAAGGACAAAATAAAATTTATTTGTATAAAATTACATCAAATGCTCTATAAAATATTTCTCCCGTTCCAGAGTATTTGTTCAGTTTGGTTTTGTCGAATTAAACTGTAATCATCAATTACTCTGATCTCAATTTCTATTACATATAAATACATTGGAATAAATTTTTGAAAGTTCTACATAATTTCAATATTTTTATATTAAAATCATTTTTATACTAATAAGATATATGGAGTATTATATGTGACTTATTTTAACAAAAGATTAAGAACTTTGGAATATAACATTTGGTCAACGCATGTGAACTTTGGAATATAAACTTTGATCGTTAATTAAATAAAATGTTAGAAGAAACTGGAAGGAGTTGAAAAAACTGGAAAGAGTTGGAAAATATTGGAAAAATTAAAATCTTAAAAAGTCATTCAATTATATAATCAGCCGAATAAATATGTTAGAAAATTCTAATTTTGGATAAAAAAGAATTCGTCGTTGTTATGTTTGAGGTGATATGTTATAAGTTTGGATATATAATGGTATTCTATATTGATTATACACACACACACTTTTTAAGTCATTGTTGGAAGAAACTAGAATTAGTTGGAAGAAACTGAAAATAGAGCTGGCAAATCGGTTGGTCAGGTCGGGTTCGGGTTTGATCACTTCAAGTTTGGGTTATTTCAGGTTCGGGTCAATTCAAGTTCGGATTGAGAACTGTATGTTCATGACCCAGTTTCATCGGTTTTGGGTCGACCCAACGGGTTATGACTTTGGTTTTTAAATTTTTTAAATTCACATTAACACTTACGTTTTGTATTAAATAAATTTAAAATATAAAAAAATATGCACTAAATCTATTAGATTATTTTATTTTAAATTCTGAAGTAATTTTTAAAAATATAAATCAATATAAGAAATTTAAAAAATGCTTATGTTTTATAAAAGAGTAAAATAATTAGCAATATCAATAAAATATTGTTTGAAAATATAAATTTATACACTAAAAACAAGTAGTAAAGTGTATGATTTTGAAAAACTCTTACTCTAGCGGGTTGGTCAGGTCGGTTCGGGTTCGGTCAGGTTTGACCCATTTTTAGGGAGTCATTTTGGGTTCTGTCAACTTCGGGTTCGGTCATCAAAACCTTTGTTCAAAACCCAGTATTTTCAGGTCGGGTTTCGGGTCAAAAACAGGTTGGGTCATTTTTTACCAAGTCTAAACCGAAAGGACTTGGAAGAAGTTGGAAGTTAGTTTTGTTAACCCGAGAGATCAGGGCTTAAGCATGTTGAGGTGACGATATAATCTAAAATCAAGAAGTGGCGGTGATGGATCCGGAAACAGATGGGGGAGCATGTCGGACGGTTATTTTGTTTGGATGTTTTTCTGATTTATATTATTTTATATATATATATTTTTAATTTTTTCTAAGGTATGGCTAATCTTTTAAAAAGAAAAGGAATTGATGGAGGTAGAATTCATTTTAATAATTTAAGAGAGAATACCAAATAAAATATTTAAAATAAAAATTCATCAAAAATAATCCTAACTTTAACTTTGTTGCGAAAGACCAGTCATCTCCATTAAACGTCAGTTACAAACTTAACGGCGACCCAAAATATGTAAATTTTAGCAAGGTTGGGATTATTATGCATCACACTGAAAGGTAAGATTATTTTTGAAAGATCGGGAAAAAGAATTGATGGAGGTAGATATTCATTTTAAAAATTTAAGGGGAAAATTCACAAAAACATTAAAAATATTTAAAACAAAAAAAACATCAAAATAATCTAATTAAACTATCATTTTGCTAGGCAAAATAGGTCATTTCCGTTAACTGGTCGCTAGAAGCTTAACAACGTCCCAAAACTTGCAAATTTCAGTAAAGTTGGGATTATTATACATCACAGTTAAAAAGTAGGATTATTTATGAAAGACCGAATGAAATTGCGATTATTCTGGACAATTTTTCTTGAAAAGAAAAGATGAACTTTATCCCCAAGTATCCTTCAAAACCGGCTCGATAATCACTTGAGAGAATATAAATTAAACTTTAATCACGAACCGACGAACTGGTAATAAAAAATGGAAGTTGCACTTGATAGTTGCAATTTTTCTCACCCTTTGTACGGCCAATTATGCAGGGCGCCACTTGTACCAATGATTAGATACTTTATTTGTGCACATTCACACAAGAAAATGTAAACTTAGGCTCCGTTCAACTTATTTTTTCTGATCTGATCTGATTCTAATAAGTTCTGATCTGATCTGATCTGATCTGATTGGATTTGATCTGATCTGATTGGATCTGATCTGATCTGGTCTGATATGATTAATTATGATTTAATTTAAAATTTCGAATCAATTATTTAATTTGACTTTATAATAACGTTTGAAAATTGTAATGATAATTCATATTATAATATAATCAATATTTTTTATTTAATGATTATTTTTTAATAAAATAAAAATAGTTAATTCATATATTAGAATAATCATTCATATTATAATGTAATAATATTTTTTATTTTATGATTATTTTTTTTGTAAAATTAGAATTATACATTAGAATAAATATTTAATTTAAATATACATTTAAAAGTAATTAAATTTAGATAATCAATATATAGAAGAGACAATATTTTTATTAAAATATCTCATCTTTATAAAAGATCAAAAGTTTAGAAACTCAAATTACAAGTAGCAATAAAAATATATTTTAAAAGTAGAATTAGATTGACATTGTCAATGTATTTTAAAACTAATTTTTCCGACTTCTAATAGTTAAGGATTACTTTCTCAGCTTTTTATTTAACCTATTTCTAAAGTTTATTCTTTTTCATTTTTAAAAACAATAATAATAATAATAATAATAATAATAATAGTAATAATAATAATAATAATAATAATAATAATAATAATTCTTGATGAGATCTTATTTTAATAAGTCCTGATCTGATCTGATTCGATCTGATCTGATCTGATTCGATCTGATCTGATCTGATCTGGTCTGATCTGATCTGATCTGATTTTAATAAGAATAAGAAAAAATAAGAAAAAATAAGTTGAACGGAACGGGGCCTTAGTCTTAGACAGAGAAGAAAAAAACTTTTTGGTAAAATTTTACCTAATAAAATACTCCGTATTATATAGACCTCTTAACGTTAACATATGATTTTTAATACTCCCTCCGTCCATGTAAAATCTTCTCATTACGCGTTATGAGGCTTGATCGACTTTATTTTCAATTCAATTTAATTGATTATATGAGTAAAATTTTATAATAAAATTTATATAGTAATAAACTACATAAAAAGTTTTACAAAACTAGAGTGACAAGACTATATTATTTTATGAAATGACTAGTAAAATGAGCAAACAAAGTGATTAAAGTTTGACCATGTAAATAATGTCTAGAAAGATCTATGGTGGACAGAGAGAGTATTTAGTTTTCAATTCTTGCATATTACATCCGCGTTCTTATATTTTTCTAAAACTATTTTATAATTAGTTTTTTAAGCAAAATATAACCAAACATTTTTTTTCACACAGTCTCCAAATAACTAATTATGGAATAGATTTTAAATATTGAAGACCAAGAATATAATATATAAAAATTATGGACTAAATATAGAAAATCATCTATTATAAGAGATCATTTGTGAAAATTATTCAATTTTAAAAGAAAAAAACACTCAAGTAAGAGTAAAATATTGAAAATATATCAAACATGAGTTTCATGTTTTTTATCGAAGTAAGAGTTAAAATGCATTTATATTGACAACCATGATCATATAAATTACCAAAAAGTATAATAAAGCATGAGAAATTTACCTAAATATGACTAAAACATAATGACTTTCCCAATATAAAAGCATATGTTTTTATTTCCCAATGTTGGACTTTTGGTCATTACCAATTAGTCATTATTCAACTAAATATCCATAATTACTGGACATTATTCCTTCCACTAGGTCATTATTAAGTCCTATTTAAGGAATAAAAAAGTTTAAGTCCTACATTAGGAAAGTCATTATGTTTTGGTTCTATTTAGTGCAAATTTCACAATAAAATATCTATGCACAGTGTCACATTATCACACTGTGAACTTCTATTTAGAGAATAATAACATGGATCTCATATATTAGTACTTTCTCTATGTTCTACTCCTTTTTAGGGTGATTTATTATTTTAAAATGTAAAAATATACTCCCTCCGTCCCAGAAAACCTTTCTCCTTTCTTTTCTCATCTGTCCCAAAAAACACTTCTTATTTCTATTAAAAAGTCACTTTTACCCCTTACTTTTTCATACCCTACC